CCTGGGTCTTCCTCTGACTGCCCAGCCGGCCTCTGCCCTTCCCCAGCTTCCTCCACAACCTCCGGAGCCACACTTCCACTTCCTGTCGGCTGTTCCTCAGAGTCAGTCTCCACCAGGGGCATGACACATATTCACATCAAATTCCTTGGCGTCATTGGTACTGGGCTTTCCATTTTTTGATATCTCTTTCCCTCTTTGTTAAATAGTGAAATATGAACAACCGCAACCCTAGTCAAAAACAAAGTTAGTTAAGGTTAAAAAATAACAACAAAAACATGTCCTAAATGCACTATTGTGATACAATTGCAAGAAACCTAACCAAAAAGATGTGAAATGGAGAAATAATGAAAATAACAAGATGTAAAATATTGAGTTAGTTCAGTGCTTGAACTTATCAATAAATCTATACAGCATGGAACCAAATTGCTTCATCTGCTCATTCTTAGAATATAAAGACTTTGCCAAAATAAAGTCTGATATTCTCATTTATTACTTAAAAAATTAATCTTCCTTAAATTAGGATGATAATTTTTTTTAAATGTACACAAGATTATACCTTTGCTGAGCCCCAAACTCAGGTGAAACAAAAGTCTTCATTAAATGACAGATTTTAGGGATATAATTTATCATCCCATTTACAATTAATGTAGAGTATGAAGAGAGCTGGTCCTAGAACACTGCCTTGGGGGACACCACTATTGACAGGCACAGAATTTGATAGGACGCTCCCAATTTTGACCATTTGTTGTCTGTTTGACAGGAATGCTTCTATCCAGTTATGCAGGGGTCCAGAGATACCGTAAGATTTTAGTTTTAGGAGTAGTTTGTCGTGTCCCACTGAATCAAAGGCTTTACAGAAGTCTATGTAGATTGCGCCTATTGCTTTGCCCTGATCGAGTTGTGTCGTCCATATGTTTTTGCAGTGTAAGATCTATATTTCACGGGTAGATTCTGCCGTAGGAAGAACTGCTGCACTGGATGACAAAGGCAGGGAGAGAGAGGTAGCGAGAGGGAAGCCTTTCCTGCTACTCCCAAGCCCATCATCCCTGCCCTTCCCCCTCCCAGGCGCTCCTCTTTCCCGCCCTTCCTACCCTCCTGGCCCTATGCCCCAGGTCCACCAGGGGGCGCACTTAGCCAAGGGAAGGGAACTCCAGGCGCTTCCCCCTTGAGGCGGCAGCGAAGGAAGTGACCTCACTAAAGCCTTGCCTCTCTAGGACGCCGCACTCGCTCTCCTCAACCCCTGGAGCTCGCAGGTCGCGGAGAGGCTGCGGGAGAGTCCGGCGGGGGGACATCCAGACGTGCCCCGGGTGAGGGGGGGGGGCTCTTCCCGAGTCCCATGCTCCCCAGCCGCCCCCTCCATGAGAAGCGGGGGGGACCCTGGGCCCTGCGCTGGGAGGAGCCGCTTGGGGCTGCGGGCAGGTTGGGGGAAGGGGGTGCAGGGGCTGAATCCCCCTTTCTGATCCTGGGCGTCGGTTTTTCTCTCCCTCCCAGATCGGGAACCTCGGAGCCCTCGGAAGCCTTTGCAAGCCAGGATCTCCTCGGCGGGGGAAGGAAGGAAGGAAGCAGAAGGACCGGCAGGGATCCGTCCTGCGGCCCCAGAAATGGTCCCGTGAAGGAAGAGGCCCCCGGAGATCCCCCCGGAGTCCCCGGAGCCCTTTGGAGCTGCTCTGCCGGGGAGAGAGGAAGGATGGAGAGACCCCCCCTTTGGCCAAGGAGGGGAGCGGAAAAGGCCCCGCGGCTCTTCAGCCTGGGAGCTGTGGGGAGAGCTGGGCCAGAACCGGGCAGGAGGTCCTGCAGGAGGGAACCCTCCTCCCTCCAGAACTTCCCCCCTGGACCTCCATCCGATACCGGGAGGCTGAGGGTCCCCGAGGACTTTGCAGCCGACTCCGTGACTTGTGCAGGCGATGGCTGAGCCCAGGAAAGCACAGCAAAGCCCAGATGCTGGACCTGGTGGTTCTGGAGCGGCTCCTGGCTCTCCTGCCCCCAGAGATGGAGGGCTGGGTGCGGGAGTGTGGAGCAGAGAGCAGCTCCCAGGCGGTGGCCCTGGCGGAAGGCTTCCTGCTGAGCCAGGCGGAGGAGCAGAAGGAGCAGCTCCAGGGGCAGGTGGGAGACTTTAGGGAGCTCGGAAGGGAATAAATAGAGAAAGTGTTTGAATGCTTCACCCCTCCTTCCCAAACTTCTCTTGCATTCATAATATGAGGCAGTTCTCCACTTCTGGTAGGACGTTGTTCCATTGTTTTCTCACTCAGCCACACGGATGGATATTGGGGGCTTTGAAGTTGTGTTCCGAATAGAAGAATCCACTTTGTGTCTTGTGACGTATATTAATTCTGCTTCTTTTTTCCTTCCTCCTATTTGAAGTGCTGCAGTGTGGAGATCAGAGATCCTGAGGGAAAGAAGAACCCATCAAATCCCCCTCGGGAGCTATTTTTCAGGAAGATCCCTTGGGAAGATCCAAGACAGGACCCCTCAGGAGGTAATGGAAGATCCTCAGATCCCCCATCTGTCTTCCCTTCGCTCTCACTTCTCTCCTATAGAATACTTCCTCCTATTTTGCTAATTATGCATTTTGAAATTATTTATTCCTTACAGAGAAACAAAGAATGAAGATTTCTGGTTTTTATGAGGGAAATCAAACAGCAGTTGAACCTCCAAATCAAGTAAGAAAGGGAAAAGATACTAGAATTGTATTCTCCCTTCAGGAAGTGAAGCGTGTGTGCAGAGGGCTCCCTCCTTCTGTTTTCCTCCTCTTGTTTGGCCTGGGTTATTTTTGGGTTCTTCCACAACATGGAGACAGAATAGCAGGTTCAAGTTGCTGTCAGCCAGCATAGCTTCCTCTGGTTGTCTTGTTCTGCTAGGTTCTCCTCCAACTTGTAGTTTACAAGAAGCAATTTTTTATAAGTCCTTCAAGAAATAGGAATACATGTATCACAGTGGCAGGAATTGCTAGAGACCCCCCTTTTTTGGTAATTCTTTGACTCGGAATTGTGCAAGGCTGATGAAAACAATAAATAAATAAATACATTGCTACATTAGCATTTTTTAAAAGCCTTATTTATAACCTGTAGTTCAAAAATAAGGAAATCGTATTAAAAAATAAAGCAGACTATTAAAATCCAAACGTTGTGGCCATGTTGAGCATGTAATCGTGGTACTTTGGGCTACAAAATAATTTCTAATCCTCTGATTTGCGCCTCGATTAGGAGATTCTGTTGGTTTTTGTGTTTTTTTTTGTCAATTGTAGCATAATATGCTGACTCACATTTAAGTGGTTGTCCACTAGCACTCCAAGATCCCTGTTGCACTTACTGCTGTTCAGCCAGGTATCGCTATTCTATGCCAGTACATTTGGTTTTTGTTTCCTAAATGTAGAACCTTACATTTCTTACTGTTGATTTCCTTTTGTTAGATGGGGCCCAATCTGTCGATCCTTCTATATCTCGAGCTTATCTTCTGGACTGTTGGTATTCCTGTCAACTTGGTCTTGTGTGCAAATTTGATGAGTTCCCCTTCTACCCTCTTGTCTAAATCAGTGATGAAGATGAACAGTTCTTGAGAATCCTCCTGTTCTGCTCTTTTTTCCGTGTCCAGGAGGGTCTTGTGTCCTTCGAGGAGGTGGCTGTGTATTTCTCTGAGGAGGAATGGTCTCAGCTGGATCCTGACCAGAAAGCGCTGCATTCGGAAGTCATGCTTGAAAACCATAGGAACGTGGTCTCTCTGGGTAAGATTTTTCTAGTCCCCAATCAGGAAGAGAGATTATAATTAGTTTTTTATTAAAGAAAACACTAATCAAATATTGTCTCCTGGGAGGGAGAAGGAAAGGATCTGGCCTTGTCGTGCTCCAAGGAAGGAAAGAGTCAATGTCTCTTTCCTTAGATGTTTTCTCTGCCATTTCTTACCTGTGTTTTTTTCCATTTCTATTTGAACTTATCTGTGGAGGCTGAAACGAATGAGGTGTACTTTTATGTGGAGGTCATGTGAGAGGAGTGTGTTGTCATTTCTCCTCTGAAACCTCTAAACTATGTGAGAACAGAACTTTCACGTTCAGCCCATGGAAGAGCATTCTGTCAGCGTTCCAGAAAAACTCAACTCCATTCAAAAACTCCGAGACAGACAAGTTCTCAAAGTTCCTGTTATTAGAGTAGTAAACTGGTGTTAAGCCTGGATTCCCCAACGGGTGTTAAGGAAAACAAACTAATCAGTCTAATCTTCTCTCCGTTGAGAAATATCAACACACTTCTTC